AGACACTTTGATGATCGAACGTTGTTACCCCCTATTTTTAGATATTATATCTGTACACTTGTTAGAACCAAGACACTTTGATGATCGAACGTTGTTACCCCCTATTTTTAGATATTATATCTGTACACTTGTTAGAACCAAGACACTTTGATGATCAAACGCTGTTACACCTCCCCTTTTTTAGATGTTATATCTGTACAGTCGTTAGAACCAACACACTCTTATGATTGAACGCTGTTACCCCCTCCCCTATTTTTAGATATTATTTTTTGCATTCGCCCCTGTTGCTATTTCTGAAAGAAAGACAAAATCTCGAGTCACTTGCAAACTAAGCATTATGTATCGAGATAAATCGGTATGGTTTAATGGTCATTATATATATATATATGTGCATACATCATTCCCGTCGACTGTCTTCAGACTGACATCATCATTAACACGTGACTAGTTTAGTTTTCGTGAATGTCTTCTTCGCTTTCATGTTACTCATTAAATTACCAACAAATATGAAAAGCTTTACATAGATCATATGATAGTACATAGATTCAGTTCCTCTAATTATATAGATTAATGTACATGTATGTTTTTTTTTTTAGGCAATAAGTCTGAATGTAGTTTGACGAACACTGGACCTGGCAGTGTGGGCGGTGCGGCTACCACAGCCGTAGGAGTCGGCTCTGGCCGGACCAACTTCACCACCAAACAGCTCACCGAACTAGAGAAAGAGTTTCATTTCAACAAGTACCTCACCCGAGCGCGGCGGATCGAGATCGCCACCGCTTTACAACTCAACGAAACCCAGGTAAAAATTTGGTTTCAGAACCGGAGAATGAAACAGAAGAAACGGATGAAAGAAGGACTTATTCCGCCAGATCCAGTGGTTTCTGAGCCTAATACGCCGACTCCCATTTCAAATACCACGGCAGCTGTGCCCCCCTCCGGCGTTGTTACAACCTCGTCTGTGCCGGCGGTCAAAGACTCTATCCAATAGGATAAAATGTTAGTTGATAATGCGACTTAGATAACTGACCATTCTTAAGCTGCTTTATCCCTTCAATATCGAAGACTTTTAGATAAGGACTGGAAAAGGCAGCCATTTATACAGGGTGAACATCGGTCTTTACATAATTATAATCGAGTCATAAACAACCGAATTATGTATAGTTTCATATTTTACTCATGTAAATAACATATACAAAAAAAGTTTTGATTATCTGTAAAATTAATCTTGTATTAGTGTCTAAAACGTGTAAATAACATAAATATATATATATATTTGTGACAAGGCTTAAATTATTGCACCATTCATATCTTTTGCTTAAATATTGTGTACAGAGAGGTGAAGAAATATAGAACAAAGTTAGATTACCCTCGGCTCCGAGACAAACAGTTTCCTTCCATTCTTGTATGATATGTGAGTCCCAAGGTAACGTTCGAAGCTCTTGGACAAACGAAAGCCATAGCTTCAAGATTCAATGTCTCTCATGTAGATTCGTCAATGATGTTTCGTCGTTGTTTATACACTTGGTATCTTGAATGACAAGTGTACTGGTATTTTTGTACGAGATATGTCGAATTCACACAAATTCACACAGCCGTTTATGTTTTTGTGCACCATCTAAACTGGTCTATGTTAACTTTATTCAATAAATCCAAATATTGTGATTCGGAAAACTGGGATTTATCTTGTTATTGTCTTCACTCAAACTTCTAAACCACTCTTCACGCAATTTATTATAGTTGAAAATTCAGTAGCTAGTCAGATGTTCACAGTGCAAAATGTACATGTTTAGGAATGTAATCGTGTTTTTTCTTGAATTTTAAGCTTCAGTAGTACGAAGTTTTTAAATATTATTATTTTCACGGCTAAAATGTTTACATAAAATAAAATACAAAATTACCTAACATTTCCGTATATAAGTTTATTTGGTGTATTATATTAAATAATCCGAAATTATACGCAAAAATTATGAACTCACGTAAAAAACACTAGCTTTGTTTTTTAACGTTTGTTATACAATGAGTATTAAGTATCGATAACGTTTCTTCTCTATTGAATTATGAGAGTATTGTGTTAAAACAAAGAAATGCTAATTTTCAGTTAAGAAACGACTTTCTCTTGTCTTAACGTAGTCTAAAATGAACTGACTGTCCTGATTAGCAACTTTCTCCAGAATCAAATAAGAGAAACTTGGTTGGCGAATATGCCTCCCTTTCCCCTGCCATTCAAGGTCCCTCCCTTTGTTGTGTAGGCCAGCCTTCGGCCCCTCCACCCTTCGGCGTGCACAGGCTATGGTTTAGGATAATATTTCCTTCGAAGTATGGCTGAAGGAGATTGGGGAACTGTCAAAGAATGATTAATTTCTTCTCATTTTTACTTTCAGAGCACCACCATTAATTCGGAGTGCCAGCTATGCTGAGCCCTGGTAATTGGCAGTCTGATTCTTTGGCCAGCACCAAACCATGTCCATCAGTAACGTTGGGGGAGGGGGAGAAACTTACCAATACCAATGTATATATATATATGGCTCCCTCTATGTGCTTCATCCAAATTACAAGTTTCGAGAAAACAAAAATATTTGCTGCAACTCGAAAACCTTTTATTATAATAGGATATTGAATTTTAATATCAAAAAAAGACGTCGGTTTATAAAAAATCCAAGGACGCTTAAAATATATATATTATTATTATGCTCCCTAATCATTAATAAAAATTCGACCTCTCAAACTATGTGTGAAGTTCCGTAGGCAAGAAATTGCTTTTTTAATGTGATAAACAACGATGTAAGATTGAATAGCACTCCTTCAGATTGCCCGCATTGTTGAGAAAGCAAATTGGAGCCTCGTGTCTGATGTCAAGAGAGAAAATTTATTGCCGCCAGTCGATGGCGACCACTGTTACGTTCGACACAAGCTTTGACCGGGCGTTTTGGTGGCGCTTTCCTTCTGCACGATCGCCTAACGTTGTTTACGTCCATTAGGCATTACTGAAAAGGATAGCCATACATCATACGGTCACAACCATCGCGCAGGTAGCGACCGGGACATAGTCTGCCATTAATCATTGCAGCACTTTTTTTTTTCATCTCTCTATACTATTGCGTTTTTTATGGGTTTTTTTCTTTTTTTGTTGTTGTTGTTAGTAGAACGTCAGACGTTCTTGTCTGTCACTGTTGGTCTGTGTCTTGATCCATCTCCAGAAGATGGCAGGTCCGGCTGTCAGCTGGCTCACACCCCGTTCTGGCTGATTCCTTTCGTCGGTCCTGCAGTGTCTGGTCCTGAGTTCATCTCGAAATGAGGAGTAAAGATGATGAAATACTTCTTTAGGAGACTTCGTGTTAGCTTGATAAACAGCCGCTGCCTCGAGCGTATCCCGGAGAAATGATCTTTTTTTAAAGATATCGATAACTATCAAAAGCCCAAGGCATCGCTCTAACTTATGATGTGTCATATTGATTTCTTCTCAAACTTTTTAAACCTCCATGTACTAGTCGTTCTTCACTCTGTGTTCAGATTACGTTTAAAATTTAAATTTATCCAATTACAAGATACAAAAGAAATTGAAGAGATGACGTGTAAGGGTTCACTTTTTAATTTTCATAGAAATACTCTGTGTTCCTGATGCTAAAGGTGACTGTAATTAGAAAATAAAATTGGAGTACATAGACTATCATTCAAGTCCTAATCAAACCTTACAATGGCTATTCAGTCCTATAAAGAAGTTTAGTAATATAAATCTCACATATTATATTTTCATAATAAATATCTATAGCTCAGTATATCAACATTTTGCACGATTACCTACAAATGATCCTTATGAACCGTCTTTAAGAGTTTCACCATAAATCAAATGATCTTTATGAACCGTCTTTAAGAGTTTCACAATTAATCAAATGATCCTTATGAACCGTCTTTAAGAGTTTCACCATTAATCAAATGATCCTTATGAACCGTCTTTAAGAGTTTCACAATTAATCAAATGATCCTTATGTACCGTCTTTAAAGTTTCACCATTAATCAAATGATCCTTATGAACCGTCTTTAAGAGTTTCACAATTAATCAAATGCCTAGAAATGTCTTATAAATATGAACATTTTTATTACACAAGTTCTTTGTGCTGCTTTATTACAAGTCTCATTGATCTTGATTCTTATTGGATTGTTTCGGGTATGTCATTAACCTCAGCTTTAATAATTTCCATACATACCACAGATAGCTGACCTTGATTCTTATTGGATTGTTTCGGGTATGTCATTAACTTCAGCTTTAATAATTTCCATACATACCACAGATAGCTGACCTTGATTCTTATTGGATTGTTTCGGGTATGTCATTAACCTCAGCATTAATAACTGCCATACATACCACAGATAGTTGGTAATGATTTTTATTGGATTGTCTTGGGTATGTCATTAACCTCAGCTTTAATAACTGCCACACATACCATAGATAGCTTACTTTGCAATGTGTTTCTTTTGCTGAATCTCTCATTTTATTCAGACTGATTTCTCACGCAGTGTTTCGCCCCCTGGTAGCACAGCGGCAAGTCTAGGGGCTTATCATGTTAAAAATCGGGTTTAGATAATCGCGGTGGACACAGTACAGATAGCGCATTTGTGGCTCAAAAGAAATCAGACAGAATTATTTTAGTTCACTTCAGCTGAAACACCCTTCCTCTAACGCTTATTACATGATTGAAAATTAGGTTCTAAGTAACGCTTTTCTATGCTCTAACAAGAAAAATGATTCATACTTTACCGTTGTTAGACAATTATTTGTTCTGTAACAGAATGATTTATCGTAGGCATATCTATTCCGGTTGTTTCTAATCATTATATAATACCGTATTTTTCGGAATATAAGACGCACCGGTGTATAAGACGT